CCCCTCCCCTCTCCTCCCCTCCCTCCTCCTTCTCTCTCTCTCTCTCTCTCTCTCTCTCTCTCTCTCTCTCTCCCTCCTATGTGGTGGTGGGGTGGGCATGGTAGAAGTATCATTCCTGTTACATAAGAAGTAGAGCTTCTCCTTTAAAATGTTCATACTTAGGCTTTGGGTCCAAGAAATCACTTATTTTTGGCAAACTAAATAGCTTCTTTTCACCTTAAAGCCTAATGAACTTTTTTAATTCTATTATTCTGTATTACACCTCCTAACTTTCCCATAAGGTGGGAAATCAATGCAAAACCCAATATTGATGCCCCCGCTGCCTCTACGTACTGCTAAATTCAGAGCTAGTGCCTGTGTGGGCTGTTCTATCGGGCAGTGTGGGCCCCCTGGAAGGTAGTACATCATTTATCACACCGCTGTGCACTTCTCACAAAGGTAATTGAGGGTGACTGCCATGAAATCATCAAGGACAATATGATTATGACACACTTGTCCAATTTTTTGACTCTCAGTTTACAAATAGAAATTATGCAGGATTCTTGACATTTTACTGGGTAGCTCCTAATTTTGCTTAATTTAAAAGTCCATTAAGTGAATTTTTGTGAACAGGGTGATGTTATTATGGGGCTCGAGATTACTTATCATCACCACCAGCAGATTAGCAATATCTCCATTATCCTTGATCCACTCCATGCTCTCTTCATCCTCCTCAAGTATGCCATCCTTCCTTCCTCCTTCCCCTTCCTCTCTTGTCTATAGCTATCATTGCATTTATTAATTGAAATATGTCATCAGTACACTTCTGGGTGGGACAGGAAGAAAATATACTTTAATGCAAATTTATAGTAGCTCACTTTCTCTAATCCAATTTTCTCTTTTCTAATCCCTATTAAATCTGTTAAGTATATGTTATTCTATTTAACCAGGTCACCCAAGAATTCATCATTGAGGCTGTTTTCCCTCCTATTTATGGAATTCCTAAAGTCAGAAATGAAACAGGTAACTACATTTCTTAACAAATGTCTTCTCAAGTGTCTTGAGATATTGATGTCTATATCTGAAGTGAAGAACACCGATGTTTGGTCTTTGGAGACAAGTAAACAGGGGTATGAATTCTAAACTTCATATTGACGCAGCTTTTGCATATCCATATCCCTCCAACTCTTACAGACTGAAATCAATGGAAGTTATGAATGAGAATAGTTTGTAGTGGTTTTTTCTTATGGGTTGGATTTTGAGCCATTTTAAAATGATTTTAATACTTCATTTCAAGAGAACTCTCACTAAAATTGAATTTTCTCCTAAAAATCCCTTTTTTTTCTTCTTCTTCAAGTCTCCTCTAAACTCTATAAAGTAAGATGGAGACATCTCTCCTGGCCACAGTATCTCTAGGTTTTCCAGTAGAACCTGTGTAGAAAAAAATCTTCTAGTGGCTTGTTATTCCAAAATAATAATAGTTAATTATTTGGATTTTTCTCCTTTAGTCCAAATAAACTTTCTGTACCAGCATATGCTAACATTTTTGTTTGTTTTACTTATTTTGATAAACATTTCCTTATTCCAAATGTTATCATCTTCCATAATCTCTTTATACTTCTGTTTTTCAGGGAGCATTTGCTTCTATGCTCAGAGCCACCAGCCAACAGGGCAGGGGTCAGATACCTAACTGTAATGTGTTGCTACAGAGCAAGGCCCCAAGGTGCGCTCTCCTACTAACATCGCTAATGTATCGTGACTGATACCTCCTTAGTCTGCCTTTAGGCTCTTCTTAAGTTTTCAGAAATGCCCCTCTCTCCTACCATTCCATCTGTCTTCTAAAAATACATCATATAAGCAATGTTTCCGGCTGTCATATGGAAACCTGTCAGCAACCATTCTTCTTCCTTTAGATTTTATATTGTTTTAGTCACTAATTCCACTTTTCCTTGTGTTGTTAATAATGCACTTTCTTTTTCCAGCCTCTCTCTTCTTCCAGCACCTAATTCATCCTCACTTCATATTAATCAATTAATCACTTTCATCACTGCCATTTTTATACTGTCATCTATTTTCTAGGGTGTTCCATCACCTCCACTCTTTAAAGAGACAATCACCAAAAATATATTTGTTCTCTGAACAAACAACAAACAAACAAGCAAACAAAAACAAGGCAGCTATCCAAAGTAAGCCAGGGAATAGAGAGAGAAGTTGTTCCACTTATAAACTTGTCTTATGCAGAGGTATTGAGAACTTTTTTTTTTTGTTTCAGTGACTATAGTCTGATTTTTTAATTCATATACCTTTATAGATAAAGACATGATTTTTAAGCTTCCCATGGGATAATTCAACCAACCAGATGCTCCCAGATTTGGCCTGTGTTGGCATACTTACTGAAAAGGACTAGGCTGGCATTGGTGACCCCCAGCTTGTTGGCAGCCACGCAGGTATAGTTGCCATAATGCTCCTCAGTGACGTTGGTCACTGTCAGGGAGGACTGGCCCTCCGTGCTCTTAATCTCAAGGCCATTGGCACTGTTTATCCTAAGAGTTCAAAAACAGAAAAGTAAAAAGAAACACTGATGAAGATTTAGCTTAGTAATTCCTTTTTCATCACTATATTGGAGGTAAAGAAGAGAAAGAAAGTGGGTTAAAGTTCTTGTTCCCTGTCATGTCCTCATTTTAATTGTGTAATTCCATATTATCTGAATCAATTTCCATCCACAGAGAAGACTCAGGATGGATGAGTTTCATTGGGCCTTGGTTTCTGCTATAAGCAAGAAAGACATGCAGGTGGAAACTACCCACTGGCCACCTGCCTCACTCTCTGCATATAACCCGAGTGCTTTTGCAGCTTCAGCTTAAGAATTACAGTCCTGAAAGCACTTGATAAAGAGATTTTGAAAAGAAAGAGTCTGAGAGTAGAGGCTATGGAATTACATTTGGACATGTTTTCATCATTAGGGCTTCTGGTGCCCTTAGGACCACCTATCAGAGCAGTCGGGGCACAGCAGGTTTGGCACATACATACCTGGTGTCATCCCGGTACCACTCAAAGTCAGGGGCAGGCACCGCGGAGGCCTCACATTTGAGTGAAGCTTGTCGCCCTGTGGTGGCTTCGTTGCTCTTGGATTCCGTGATAGTGGGAGGATCTGTGGGAAGGACAGGTACAGAGTTTACATGATGATCAGAGGGCACTCCAGAATTTCCATGCAAGAAGGAATTCGAAAGGAGAATCTGATTGGAGAGGTGCAGGAAAGAAATAGTCTTAGAGCGCCATTTACATGAATTATGTGATCAGCTGAATGGGACTGATCACTAGAAAACTAAATGAAAATAAGAGACGACTAATGAAGCCACAGATGTGGTTTACTTAAATGGGACACTTAACAGGGTTTTATGGAAATAGAATCTAGGATTCCTTTTTCCTTCCCCTAAGACACCATCAATTACTTCAACCATAGATTGTAATATTGACCTATTTTTTTTCTCTTCATAAACTAAGTGATGATACTAAAGGACTTTGGATTTTTATGTATACTTTGAGCATTTTTCGTTTTCATCATCATCATTATCATCATTGTGATTGTTACAGTTTGCGATGATAGTAAGCAGTCTGATGAAAATAATACAGAGCTAAAGTTCTCCCAACCCAAGCTTAGCCTAATATTTTTTCAGGAATTCAGAAAAACAAACAGTTAAGTATTAGATGATTACTTAACCCTCTTTCTCTTCTATCTGCCCTTATTGCTATGACCCAGGTAAATTTTTCTTTGATGTGGGACGGTGCAATTTGACGTCTATCCTGGTGTCAACCTTCTCCTCTCTCTGGCAGCTGTGCACTGGATTCTGTCTGCTTAGAACTGGCCTACACAACTGTAACAAAACACATCTGACATTCTGATTTGCCATAGTTATTTTTTTAAAAAAAATAAACATATATTTATTTATTTTCCTTTATCCATACTACAAAAATTATTTTTTTTTAAATTTAGTGATTTGAGAGAGAGAAATGAGTCACTTTGCTTTTTAAAAAAAACATATATTTATTTATTTTCCTTTATCCATTACTACAAAAATTATTTTTTTTAAAATTTAGTGATTTGAGAGAGAGAAATGAGTCACTTTGTTGTTCCACTTATTTATGCATTCATTGGTTGATTCTTGCATGTGTCCTGACCAGGGATAGAACCCGAACCCTTGGCTTATTGGTACGACACTCTAACCACCTGAGCTACCTGGCCAGGGCAGTACCACTTAAAAAATCATTATTTTGTATTAGTTTCAGGTTTACAGCATAGTGGTTAGACAATCATATACTTCACAAAATGTTCCCCCCTGATATTTCTAGTACCCACCTGGCATCATACATAGTTATTACAATATTATTGACTATATTTTTTATGCTGTACTTTACATCCCCATGACTATTTTGTAACTACCAATCTGCACTTTTCAATTCCCTCACCCTTTTCACTCAGTTCCCTAACCCTCTCCCCTCTGGCAACCATCAGTCCATTCTCTATGAGTGATTCTTTCAAACAATCCTACAGAGGGTGAACAGGTGTTTACAAGTCCACATGGCAGAGTTAGAATGGCAGATGTGAGTTCCTGGTTTGATGATTCTGTGTTTGTGGAGGTTCTAGACCTTTAAGGAAAATATGACTTTTTTTTGTCCAAAACCTATTTGCCCAAAAATGGCAACCTGGCTGCACGTGCACGGAGCAAAGAGACCCAAACTATCTGTTTAGACTTTGCAGAGGAAAAAGCTTATTTAAGGAAAATAGTAAAGTGATCTCTAGTACATAAAATGCATTTAAATCTCTTCAGTGCCTGGTTCAGCTCACTTATTTCTGTGTTTTTTTCTTCATATTCATGTGTACAAAAGCATCCAGTGAGTTTGGAGTTTTCTCTCCATTTCATTTTCACATAAGCTTGGATATCTTAAATCATTGTCAGAGACGAGAAGTTAGAGCACATTTGGATAAGCACATCAGCCTGTGTGTAAATGGATGTCTCAGAGTGGGTGATGGTTGCTGCTTTTGTTGCTTTAGAATTACCTGCTCATTTTTGTATAGGCACAAAAAGGCAACATGATGAGTGGAAAGAACCCTGGGTTGGAAACTAGGATTTCTGGAATTTAATTTCACCTTGCTTCACACACTTTATCTTTCTGAGTCTTGGTTTTATTACCAATGTAATGAGTGAACCACACTCTAGTGATCTATAGCATCCTTCCAGTTAGTAAAAATACCCCAGATCTAGTAAAACTGCTCATTCTTTACAAATGGGCAGTTTGTATCATTATGACCCAAATGTATTATCATACCCCAAACTCATTTAACCCTTAAAATTCTAACATTCAAAATTATAGCTCATTTATCCATTCCATGGGTTAGGAGTCAGGATTAGTAGTTAGAAATGGGAAACACAAGGACTGATTTTGAATCTTCTCTCAACCAGACCTGTGGCCTGGGCAAGATTCTGCTCCAGTTTGAGCCATTTCTTTCTTATTGTTTAAAACAAGGGGTAGTTTAAAATGAGCACCAATGGGCTCCATTTAAATTTTTTTCATTCTATGATTTATTACATAGTTCATTGGAGCACATTAGCTCAAAGAATAATGTGATAACAGGGGGTAGTGGTGTTGGGAGAGGAGGTATTTGTAGGGATGGGACACCCAATAGAGTTGAAAAACTTGTATTTAAAGTTTGATAAACCTGAGCTCAAATCTAGGCTCTGTCCCTCATTTTACTAGTACTTCCTAATTAGAGAGCTTAGTACCTTCTCTAGACTCACATTGCTTCAATTTTCTCATCTATGAAATATTGGAACCAGAGGCAATGGAGATTACTGAAGGATTCCAGAGAATACCTGCACTTGGTTTGTGATAACAGGGATGGAAGGAAATGGACAGATTTGAGATTGAGAAGTAGGAAGCTTCAGAATTGCTAAGATTAGATATGAAGGGTGAGGGAAAGAAGGAGGTGTGTCCAAGTTAACACAGGTAACAGGCAAGTGAGATAAGCTACGTAAGAAGAGAAATAAATGATCGGCAATAATACACTGAATGAATATTAGTTTCCTGTCCTCACCTCTTCACGCTACAGTTAGTTGACTCTTGAGCAACACACGTTTCAACAGTGTGGTTCCACTTATATGTGTGTTTTTTAAAATAAATACTAGAAATGGTTTAACATTTTCTTTTCTTTAGCTTCCTGTATTGTAAGAATACATTATATAATACATGCAACATACAAAATATATGTTGACTATATTATCAGTAAGACTTCTGGTCAACAGTAGGCTATTAGTAGTTAGGTTTTGGAGGAGTCAAAAGTTACAGATGGATTTTTGACTGTGCAAGTGCTGGCACCCCTAACCCCCACATTGCTCAAGGGTCAACTGTATTAGGTTCTTAAGTTGCCAATAACTCCACAGTCTGTAGCATGTTCGCTTGAGAAATAATCTTGCTCATGATTCTATTGCCTTGTTCAGTTGCTCAAATTGTGAAATGAGTTTTAACCAGTTTGTGAGTTCCTGGAGCCACGTGGTTATAACTGACAAATCCTTAATGATAATTACCACTTTGCTCAAACAGCCCTAAACCTGGGCCAGACTACACATTCATCACTTCCACGTTTGGCACTCACAGCTGTAGCACCTCAACATAATAATGCCATGGTAGATGCCTTCCGGTCCCTCCACTAGAAGACCAGGAATACAGGTCTCAGGTCTGAGTTTCATGGGAGAATTCTTCTTTGCTTTGGGTGTTTCCTTCCATGTGACATGGGCTTATTTAGTGTACCTCCTTGCTCTGGGACCCCAGGGGAAGAAATGGCTTTTCTGATTGAAAATTTGGGGAGGAGCAAAGTAGATTTATTTGGCTCAGCTCTTCCCCTTCTTCCTTTTGGGACCAAGCTTCTGGCGGGGATCACAGGTTCTCTTCTGCTTCTCAACACTAAAGTCTTACTGGGGCTCTCTCCTTCCACTCTCATGTGGGCAAGCCTGCCCTAGTCCAGCCCTACCATACTTTGGGGGAGGTAAGTCAGCCACACAAGCTACTACCTCTAATAACCTTGATCTCTAAAAAAGGGGGCCAACGGGCCTCCCCTACTATGTCTTTACTTATTTCTCAATGTGTTCAGAACCAAAACAGTTAAGTAGTAAGCTATTTATTAACTCCTCAGAAATGCCAGCATGGGAAAGGTGACAGTAAATTGGGGTTGAATAGTATTAATCGTATTAATCTTGGGACAGAATGACACCAGTCAATGACAAAGGCCAAACACTTGCTTCTCTCATTGAAAATCTAGGGAGTTTCTCATACTAGGGTAAATTCCCAGGTAAAGACAAATGTATGAAGAGCTCATTGTTGCCAATATTTCTCAAATGACACAATGCTGCAGGTCTATTTGTTCATGGTTTATTGGAGTGAACATTTCAAAATTGATTTGTGACGAATTCTATATAGGTGAGGCTAAGAAAAATTGTTACAAATCATATTGTGGCATGCCTATTGTAGTTAAAAAATAGATGTCCTTGCTCAAAATACAGTTATAATAAAAATGTGACTTAATAAAAATGTTGCATGGAGGTCCATTGTTATTTGTTATATGACTTTGGAATAGCTTACAATTGTCAAAGGACTCTTCCAGTTTTTATTACTTCAAAATTCCGGGTTCTGAAAATATTAATAAGGGCTTTCTTCTTATATCACCAATAACAAGACTCTTGCAATTAGAATGAACAGGATAACAATGACAGTGACCTAGCAAACAGAATAGCTTTCCTTTACTCTTCCTAATATTAGGAATAATAGTGTACGTAATGAAATTCTTAATGAGGAATCCAATTTATAACTATTTACCATATGTCAGTTCTCTGCTAGGCTTTATATTCTTTCATCCAAGTAGTAGCCATTAGGAGGTAAGGATTATTAACCCATTTTATAAATGAGAAGACAGACCTACAGAGGGTAGTAACTTGTCACATAGCCAGCATTTGAGTGAGTCTAGATTTTAACCCATCTTTCTGAAGCCCACACTCTGAACCTCTCTGTGCTTCCGTTTGAATGAATTCCTTTAGAGAAAATGAATTCCTGCTAATGAAAAATACCATTTAGAGGAGCATGCTGGTAGCTTAAAGGGTA